GGGGGGGGGCTGCAATCTATATTTCCAGACCTAAATTAAGACTAATATTCCACTTAAGGTTTGATTTGGAGAGATGCAGGGAAATGTGATTATAGGGAGTATAAAGGACACATTGAGAGAGAAAGTTGGGAACAGAAACATGCAGTTAAAGAGATGAAATGCATGAGAGGGGGAATCCCTGGGCCTCGAGGGTGTGTGTGTTTCAGGATACAATGGGCTTATCCTTTGATAATGAATCACTCACATAGACTCCAAAAGTAATCTCCATAATCCCAGATCAACGACAGATGCAACGCCACTGATCCTGCTTCTTGGCGGATGAAAAGACTAAATGTTGTTTGGTGTGGATTGAACATTATTAAAAGTGGACGAATGAGAAACACCTTGTTTGTTAGACTTTCTACTGCTCGGCTTCATAGATGCTTCTGATGATGACCCTCTATCATCCAACCTAGAGGACAACATGCTGAAGTTATGGACCAAAAGGCCAAGCAAATGAAACAGGCAGGTTGTTTTTCTTTCTTTTTTTATCTGTGGAATTTCTTAGTCTAATCTAAACAGGCAATTTTTTCATGATGTTGTCTTTTAAGGCAGTGACTCCCAACCTGGCTTGCGGCCCTTAAAGGGAATAGTTTAGAGGAAATACACGTATTTGTTTTCTTGCTAAGAAATCAAACATTGGTAACACTCTTGTCTGGTAATATAAGCCTCCAGTTTAGCATAAAGAGTAGAAACAGCTCCTGTTTGTCATCACACTTTGTTTTTTCTACCGATTAAAGTTGAACTCCACGCAAGATGCTAAGATGCTAAGATGCTACGGTGCAAATGTGAATTTGCCACTGTTATTTTTGCCCTGAATTATTGAGTTTTTGAGGTGCTGTTTCTTTTCTTTTTTTAAACCTTTGGACAGAGTCAGGCTAGCGGTTTTGGCCTGTTTCCAGTCTTTGTGCAAAGCTAAGCTAACTGCTGCTACTTATAGCTGCCAGCTATAGCTTTATATTTAGCATAACGTATCATCTTCTCGTCTTAGTTTTGGAAAGAAAGCGAGCAAGGGTATGATTGAGGAATAAAACCCCCGAAATATACACACATATACACATCCATTGACCCCATGTTGCAGTTGTTTGCAGTCCTGTCAGAGAACAAGAGGAGGATGAGGCAGAATGTGTGCACACGTGTAATATGAGCACAGCTGTTGAACATTACTGCCTTCGGGTCCCGAGGGTTGAGGTCTCACAGGCTGTTCTGCAGTTATATCAGGAGAACATTCCTCTGGTTTTCCGGCTGATGTAAACTAAGAGACTCGTCTGAAACCACATGATGCTATCTTTCTGTAAACATTTGCTGTCTGTTGTCTTTGGGAATCAGACGCTCATTTCCCAGCGGAGCTCATAAGTCAGCTGTCTCTCTCTGTCTGTCTGACCCCAGTAGTCCTCCTCTTCCAGGTTGGGTTTTATTTGGAACATGTATCTCTCTGTTTGGTATCTATTTTATGAGCTCCAGCAGCATCACATAAACTTCTTCCTCTCTCTGACCTCGGAGTAAGTGAAAAGTCCCACGTCCATTGACAGATATTTGTGCTTCCTTGTGAGGTTTTGTTGGGGGGCAAAAACGATTCGTTTTACTCCCCAACAAAACCTCACCCCGATTTTTCCTTAAAAAAAAAAAATGTTTGTGGCTGACATGATTATGGGGCATTGCATTCATAGTTGAAAACCAGCGCTGGGTTCAAAACATTCTTGTGGTTCAGCTCAGGAAAAAAAACAAAGATGATGGCCAGTTGGTATAAGCAAGAACACTGCAGCGGTTCAGAATCCGACAAATCTGACGCTCACATCACGAGCAGACGAGAGAATGGAAGTGAGAATAATTCAAAAACTAAAAAGAATTTAAAAAATCTAAACAAAGTCTTAAAAAGTGCTAACAGTATCTATTATTGTGGAGCTTGAAGTGTCGAGTTTAATAGATGTATTTTTTAATTCTAAAAAATGTAATTCTAATTACAGGGTTTAATGGAGTTAAAATTTTATTTTTGACATATCTTTAAAAGTATAAAAGTGATAGAACAGTTTATTTTTGCACACTTTGTTACATATTAGCATGAAGAAAAAAGCATTTTACTCTTGATTAATAAGCCCGTCTATTATGTGTTTCATTGTTGTGTTTTCATACTTTATAAATGATGGATTCCCCATTTGTAAATTAAGTATTATATATTTTACAAACCAATTATTCAGGAGTTGTAGATGATTAATAAGATAATTTATAAAGTGTTAGTAAATGATTAATAACTTATTTAGATGTACATTATTCATGCATTTATATATATAATGGTTAGGGACTATGTTAATATATGCTTTATAAACGCATGTTAATACTGCAATTCATGATTAATTCATGATTTATTAAGGTAGTTACTACTCGTTAGCCCTTTTACACGTAAAGCCCTTTTGTGTAAATATAACAGTTTTTATATGACTGTTGTGTTATTTACCCAAACTGGTTGCAATGTGTTATCATCTACTCAAGCTCTTTATTAACTCACATGTCATATTTTGTGACTGATATGTTGACTCACAATGCATTTATGAAAAAAAGCTCAAACTTTAGCTTGTTGTGTCGAACACCGGGTCAGAATAACCGATTGTCTTGCATTTGATCGGTGACCCAGAAAGATGCCAGCTTTACACAACACGGTGAGATGCCGGCTCTAACTTTATTGCATAATTGTTCCATTTGGGTCAGCAAAATGTGCCACTAAAAAGACTACGAGTACGGAGACACTCAGCAGAAAGTGCTCTATTTAGTACCATTTATGAACACTTGATGAAAAGCATCGTGTGTGTTGCTTCTTACTGACGCGGCTAAACACCGCATACTCTCTGTGAGGTGAACGGATGTCGCTGGTTCCAATGTTAAATGTCAAACCGCACTCTAATACACATTCTCACTCTCACACACACACCACCACCAGGACCACCTGACAGGACATGTCAACACTCACAACTACACACACACGCAACTCATTCTGCCTCTCGCACTCTTTCTCACACACATGCCCACCCCTCAGCCCTCATTCCACAGCAACACAGGAAGTCAAAGGGTGACCCACTTCTACCAGCAGCTTTATTTTGTTTGGTCGCTGCACAGACGTCACGACAGTGTGCATTGGAAATACACTGCATGTAGACAAGAGCAGCAACATGTATCACTGGCCTCAATGATTTACATGAATCTAGAAATAGCAATCTAATGCACATTATTCTAATACTCGTCTACAATAATGATTCATTCTGATTAATTAGGTGCGAAATTGATCTCTTAAACAGCAGGAGCTTATTTATTAAGTTGAACAAACAAATGAGATTGACTACAAAAAACATCAGAGGCAAACCAGCTGCCTGACAGCAGATCAGTATGAACTAGAATCAATTCATTAAAACGCTTAAATGTTGGTCAGTTTCATAACCTTAACCGCCAGCTTGGTTCACGCGAGTGATAACAGAGATCATGTACTATATTAGATCAGATTTAACTCAGCAAAGCTCATATGTTCTCTATTATAAGTAATTTATCACTATTTACAGAATCAAAACACACTTAAATCATGTTTCACTGCTTTCAAAATCCCAAATCTGCCTGCAGGAATGAAGATTTCTTATATTTATCTCACGATATTTAAAAGTTTTAAAAAGCTCTCACAACATATGTCATTGTAAGATTTAAGTTAAAGTAATTCAAAACAAAACCACAAAACTGTATTTTTGTGTATTTTTAAAACACAGTTATTAATAACTGACCCTAGCATTTAGTTTAAAGTAATGTCAACTTTCCTGCTTTGATACACTTAAGAAAATGCAGCGTACTGACTTCGGAGTCCTACACATTCAACAATGGTCTACATATGTTTCGGCTAAATAATGACTCAGCAGTATGTCTATAAACAATATACACAACTGGTTGACTTTTAGTCTCCCTCACATGTCTGACTCTCTTTTATTAAAGGTCCGGTTATTCTTCAACATGCGGTGTCATCAGACTGTCCATTGAAACTCTGCTCTCACTTACAGGCCTAATTATCTTTCCCCCAATCTCACGAGGACAAATTACTGTACAATTATTGTCCTTAGTAAGCAAAGTAAATCAAATGCTGATTTGGAGTAAATATAGCAACATAACACCAGAACAGAATCATCACCCAGCGCTGCAGTAACCATCAGCTCCAAAGAGCGCTTTAGCGAGTTTTGGAACTCCAGCCCACAACTTTACTGCTTTGGTTCACTCTCAGCGCTCTTATTAACCGTGTTCGAAGCAGCAGCCGGCAGCTGGTGGTTAGCTGGAGAACATAGTGGAACATTTAGCAGCTAAGGAGCCAGATATTTCTCTCAGTAGCTGGTGGAGACGGAAAGAGGATGAATATCGGATTTACATTCATCAAGTGGTCAGAAAAATGACTTAATATAAATGTTAATATAGCTCAGCGTCTGTTGGAGGCAACTGTTTGCAAAGACGATGTGCTTTCAGCTTGTTCTGCTGTCCCTAAGTGACTAACAACTGAATCAAGCAAAAAAATCATGGAATTTGTTATTTTTTCTTGTCAAAACTGCACAAACACTCCACATATTCTATCAGAGATGCTTGCTTCTACAATCAGAATAGAATAAACGAACAGTCAGGTTGCTTGTGATGTAAACACACTAATTCTTTTCGATACACGACTGATTTTTCAGATGGATTTATTGCTGAATGTAGTCTGCAGCTCTTTGAGGGTCAGATACCCTGTTTTACAGGGCTCCACAGGCATGGAGGAAGACCTGCACATGGCACCAGCCATAGGCCAGGCCGCACAGTTGCAACAAGCAGCTGCATCAGGTACCTCCACCTGTTGGCTATCAGAGGATACCAGAGTTAGAGTGGGAGCGGTAGGAGGGCATGGAGCAGAGGAGGTTGGGCACATCTGGGAAGGAAGCTGAAGAGGGAGAATGAGAAGAGGGCTCGGATCGTCATCTGAAACCTCCTCCTCTTCTACTTTGGCAAACCTTTCATCTTCATTGGCTTCTTCGTCTTCCTTTCCGATGCCAAAGCCGGAGTCTGGGCTCTGCGGCTCCCTCTTCAAGCTCTCGTAGGTGTCGAGGGAAGGGTGGAGGCAGAGGTGAAGGTTGAGGCTGTTGTGGAAATCATCCTGATAGGTGAAGTAAGCAGGATTGGGGTCAGTTCGTGCCCAGCTGCTGGAGGAGCTGGACATGAAGTAGCCCATGTTGGAGAAGCAGGATGAAGAGGAGGAGGAGGAATTGTCAACAACCCTGCTGGTGTCTGAGCCGGCCGAGGGGTCGCTCCTGAAGTGAAGCAGGGCGCTGGTGGAGCTGGAGGAGGGAGAGGTGGAGGGGACCTCATCCCACTTTTCGCATATCTCAACCGGGGAGATGCTGTCGCATGGCTGGGCTGTGAAGAATGACTCGGAAGCTGACAGAGGATTCAGCCATTTCTAAGTAAAAGGAAAGAGAGAGTTGGAGTAGAAAACACAGTTTTTGTAGTCAAAAAAGTTTCAGAAAGTTTTCTTTGTGTGTGAGTTCCCAGTCTTGACAAAGTTTCTCTAAGCCCCAAAATATATTATATTGTTTTCACAGGACAATTAGTACTCATGCAGATGAATAGGGATCCTTGTTTTACCATAATTTGAAAAAAAGGAAATTTTACATAAAATTCTCATATATTAGACAATAAATAAAATAAAACACTGAGTAGTTGGAAATCACGTAACTCCAGTACTTAGTCACTTAAAGGCAACTTAAATGTGATTTCAAGTCACTTAAGAATTTACACTTGATGCTAATTTATCCTTTTACTTCGCTACATTTTAAAGGGAAATATTGTATTTTGTTAACCCACTAAATTAGTTTGACAGTTTATAGTGAGGTATTACTGCTTTCACATAACAAAATAATATCAGTACTCTTTCCACCACTGGAGCGTTTTTATAGGGTTGTACTTGTATAGTGTAGCCATGACTGACTGTAAACAGTCAGAATGAAATTGGTCCCAGCATAGAAGGGAGACATTAGAAACTAAAAATCTTTCCGGCGACCCAGGTGTCCCAACAGCCACAGCCTATTGTATTAATTGTGGTGAATACCTGAAGACTTCTGATGTGGCTGTGAATCACAGTGAATTGAGCGGTGTAGTTCTTGTGAGCAGACTAAAAAGCCAACAACTAATCAATTAAATCAATGTCGTCAAACGAATGTTGAAGGATAAATTACAGAAAAGCCCAACAAGTTTCTTCAAATTTAAGAAGAAATCCAAATGACAAAGTGACCTGTGTGTGTAAATAGTTTAAGCGATTTCTGTGTAAAGGCGTCAGTCAGTGAAGCGCATCTGTCAAAATGCTCTATGTGGTAAGGACATAGTGGTAAAAAAGGATTTATTTTTACCTTTAAATTTCCTCCGTGTACAGAGTGGAGAGTGTGGAAATATTCAGAAGGGTTTGGTACTGGCTTCGCTTTGAGGAGCCTGAAATGGCAAAAAAGGGAGCCATTAGATAAGACATGGTGCATGCCAACACACAGAGACAGACACACACAAGCCAACATTATACTCACCGTCTGCTCGCACAACTCCAGTAGAGGACGAGTGTTACAATGAGGAGACCCAAGCTGAACATCACTCCCCGCGCTACCAGTAAAGTCTGACCCAGGAACCATCCTGGAACAGAGAGCTGACATTACAATGTGCAAAAAGGCATGTTAACAGGGCTCAGATCATTGAGGAACATGGGATTATATAGTTGCATGTCATCAGCATATAGTTTAAGTTAAAAAACACTTTTTAAGAAGTAGGTGAGGATGGGACATTGGAACATTTGAGGCTCTGAACCACCGCTCCAGGATCGACAGCATTGACTTGTGCAATATTTGCTTAAATGGTAGTGAATTGAGAAGGCGGCAGGAGAGGAGCATGACTGTGATTATTGGAATATTTGCCTTAATAGTTAATATTTTGTTGTGAAAGAAGGCTGTTAGGGTACAACACCAGACCCCTAGTAGCGCCTACAAGGAAGCAACCACATAACTCTGTTTGTCGGCGCTTGGTGTTGACCCTGAACCAGAATGGATGACTACATTTCCCAGCAGGTCTGGGATCAGTTTGGGACCCAGGAGAGCAGATATCGTCCTCGTTAAAATGACAGCTGTAAGCCTGTGAGCTGTTTTAGTTGTCATTCAAAGAACATGGAAATGCAAAATGTTGTTACCTTGATCCTGTGATGTTGTCAATATGTCTGTCGCACCCAACCAGGATGTTGTTGGACTCCAGTTGCTCCAGTGACTGTTGGGAACTTTGGGTTTGACTCTCACCCTGACCTGGCAGTGCCCCTTTAGTTTCCAAGCAGGTATGCTGAGCTCTTGTTCTAGTGTGGAGAGAGTGCTGGCCTCCTGATAACGGGACAATTCGGCGCAATATTAAAATTGGGCTGTATCCCAACAAACAGAATTGATTTTTCAAAGGGATTTAAATCACGAGCAACATCAGTTCTGTTGCGAAAATACGTATGAGCATGCAACATAAAGAACAAACTATAGTGGAAATGAAATACCTGCAAAACCAGAGGCGTTCCCATCAGCCTCAGCTGTACTTTGTGTTTAGTGCTAATTAGCAAATGTTTGCACGCTAACATGCTAAATTAAAACGGTGGGCATGGTAAACACTGCTAAACATCAGTGTGTTAGCATTGGCATTGTGAGTATGTTAGCATAATGACATCAGCATCTAGCTTGCAGCACCTGTGCCTCACATAGCTGCGGCCATGGCTCTAGGGTCTTGATCTTCTTTTATGCACATGATTTACTATTATGCCTAAATAGCACGTTACCAAAAAGAGTGTAGTAAATATGAGTTGTATTTTTTATAAAATGCCCATTCATGCATGCATGTGCACTTACATTCCATTTCTTGTTCTTCTGTTTGATCTGAACTTGGAAGTCAAAGGATGTGAGGTAGACAGAGGAAGGAGCGCCTAAGCTCCACGATATCCTCGTCTCGTTGACAGTGCTGCTGACATTAGGGACACCTGGAGGATGCATTTTGACTGTAAACACAGACACACACACACACACACACACACACACACATATAGAAAAGCATGCAATCAATTAATTCCTGATGTTTAAAAAGGTTGGCAAATTATTTTGTGTAACACTTGAAAAATCACCAAAAGTTGGTCATAATGTGTTTCAGACGGCCTCCTGAACACGTTATCATGGTGGAGACTTTTTTTGTGTTAATTTTTCCGGCATTCTTTCGTAATGAATGAGAAATAATGTCAAATAATTTTTAGAACCAGATTTGTGAATTACTTTACAGGAGCAACTAAAAAGGTCAGAAGTAAGAGCCGCCTACTGTGATTGTATGGTGAATAGTTTGTGAGGTTCTCCACCATCGTCCCGTTACAATCCACTCGTAGGTAGGGCATGTCTCTAGCAGTGTTGAACAGCTGGAGGGACCCATAATAAAATCAATTACAGGGAAGACATGAAATCATATGAATCATTTAGCTTTGCAGCGAGACTGTTGATGATTCTCAAGGATTTATTCTTTATTTCAGTGTAACATCTTTTCTACGATGGCTGATCGTTGAGTGACTCAACAGGGCAAAATAGAGATGTCAGTTAGATGTTTACATTTTCTTATGGATGATAGTGACTTACTTCCTTCTCAAAGACAAAACTGCAGCCTGAAGGAGAGTTTGGGTGTTGTTTCAGCTTGCAGCTTCGACTAAGTGAGAAAATGGACAGAAATCACCACGAACTGCTGCAAAATCGGACCAACTGACGGTGCTATACCGTTACCATGTTTCTATCGCCAAAGCCCGACATGAAATAAATACATCTCTAACATCTTACATAATCGTTGCCTTATGTCTCTCGTAGTTCTTGGTGATCCAGGTTGTCTTCATACCAAAGACCCAGCAGTCCACACCAGGAGCCACGGCAGAGCTGTCCCACGTGCAGCTGACATTGTTGACGAAGTCATTCACGCAGGAGAGTCCTTGAGTGGCTGAGACATAACAGGAGAAGAGAGATTAGGACGGTGCCACTTTGTCAGTGCCGCTGGACTCGTCCTTCATGCAGGACATTCCAATAAACCAGCGGTCTCTTTTAACTTCTCGGTTAAATTGTATTCAGTAAAATTCACTTTTGAGGAATGATAAATGGTCATGTTTCAGTTGATCGACTGTAATTCATAAATGTATGAATTATGAATTATGAAGTATCGTTACGACTTGAAGAAAAGAGACTTTGCTTCAAATGTGTCAAATTCTCAAATGTCAAATTCACAAAAAAGAAATCAATGTAAAATACGTTGTGTTATTTTCTATCCCTTGTGCTGGAAGGACGGTAACATAGAGACAGAGACAGTTTCAGGTGAGACTCGGTTATACCTTGCACGCCTTTGTGAGAGTGTGCTGCATGCACTGAAAACAGACCCACTAGGACGTATAAGGACACCAGGATCTCCATGGCCATGACCACAATGTAACTGTGAACAGAGGAGATCAGTACATAATGTGCATTAGAATGAGAATCTGAATCAATACTGTTAAATACATTCACATATTTGGCAGAAAAAAGCGGCGCTTTGGAATATGTATCTCGTAATTGTACCTCTTTCTCTTTCTTTATAACCTCATTATTATTTGAAGCTATTGTCCTTATCAATGTCAATAAAGCATATTGAATTGAAACTGGGCAGATTGAGAACAGTTACCCAAACAAGTGTCTACCTCTGTGATTATTTCTTTATTATGTAGAGAAACTCATTTCTGAATAGGCAAATCGTCATCGGCAGAGCGGTGTACAGTTCTGAGAGTGAGAAAACAAGATCCCCACTGAGCAGAATACTCATCCTGAGCAGGCGGCAACAAGCAGTTATAAGTGAAACTTGACTGAGAGCACTGGCCCCGTATTATATAATGTTAACAGTGTGCTATAAAGAACGAGTTTCTAATCGGTCATACCGATAATCATTCAGACGTTTCTTTTTAAAGTCAACCGTCGTGACTGTGTTTTTCCGTCAAAGCCTGAAGTGAGCATGACCGTAAGTGACTTTATGGAAAGTGCAGATGTGTCACCATGTATGATATAATAACATAATGTACAGGGGGAACAAAAAACACCTGTTCCTGATAACAAACAGCAGGTCAGGAAAGTGACATAATATCGTCAAACAGTAAGAGCCAGAGTGTAAAGACGCTGTGAAAAAAAATGAAAGTAGTCGAATATATAGACTCAAGTTGTTACAACTTGCACAATATTCTCATATAATTTTCGACAGCAACAGTGAGAAGAAGGTGATACAGTACCTGATGAGCCTCGATCAGCACGGGTAGCAAGGGGTCCCTGAGAGGAAACACATTGCAGTCTCCTCTGCTGGACTGACAAGTTCAGAAGACTTCCTTCTCTTCTGTCTCTTTCTGTCCCTCTGTCTGTCTACTCATACATCACCATCTCAATCTCCCTCCCTCTCTCTCTCTCTCTCTCTCTCTCTCTCTCTCTCTCTCTCTCTCTCTCTCTCTCTCTCTCTCTCTCTCTCTCTCTCTCTCTCTCTCTCTTTCTGTCGCTCATCCCTCCGTCTCCTCATTCTCGCCCCTCTGTCTTCTTTAAAGTGCCCAGTGACATTTTCCACTTGTAACCACATAGCCTGTGTCAGGGGGCTTACAGGAAGCCTCATGAAGCTGTGTGTGATGGTGTGAGAGGACGGGTGGGGGTGGTGGGGGAGGAGGGGGTGGTGGGATGGGTGGTACTGCAGAGCAGAGCAGGCTACCTGGACGCCGTTAAGATAATAATTGCACCGAAAACAAGAAATACAAAGCACGCCACATCCTGTTTCAATCACAACGTAAAGTGGCTTTGTACAAAAGGGAAACTCACACGTTGTCCTATGAAGTGGTTGATGTCAGTGAAACTCAGCTTAAACTGAAGATTCAGAGGATTAAAGTGGCTAAAGCTACCAGATTTAGAACCGTGGGGGTTATTTAAATTGCAAACACACACACACACACCCACACACATTCAGGAGTTGTACGGCATCAAAACCGCTGCTTGTTACAGCCACAACCACTGCAGACGCATAGGAACACTTCTCATGTGCTTCTATAGCGGCAAAGAGGAAAGTCAAAGCAGCAGCCTGCTCTTCGCTCAAAGGTCACTGAACATTTCATTTCCTCCGATTGTTAGTTTGCTCATCCGTCGCAATCTGTTAATGAAACTTCTGGTCTCAAATGTAAGACACCTGTCCATGAGAGGGGGACTAATATGTAAAAAATACATATATTTTATTTGATCCCTTTTCTTGTGAGAGTTGCTGTTGAGAAAAAAAAAGGTTGAATAGTTGCGTGAGAGCACCATTTGTTATGTTTACCATCATTTTTGCCAATAGTGATTCCACTACTAGTGTGAGAATGATTGAACCGTTAGCATATCAAATTTGAAGTCAGGGTGGGGTTGATGAATAAGGGGGTATCATGCTTAGGTATCTTAGTGTCTTATATATAAACTCTCTAATAAAGTGGTGCAGGATACTACTGCTTTATCCGCACATCTGATTGGTTATCTACTTTGGATGCAAATTGTTTTCCAACTCAAAGGGAGCGTCCAAACCACAAATGAATATGCCCGGTGAGGATTTTTCACAACATCTCATGTCAAATATAAAGTTCAGCTCCCTCTCCCACCCCGATGACTTTCGTACAGTCTCTAATTATCAGCAGCGTGCTTTGTGCATCACGCAAGGGCCTCCGCCATGCAACAATATATGATATAAGACTAATGCGAGCTGCCTGGAGATTTTAAATAACAAAAAGTATTTGTGCAAATGAATGTCAGTCAAACTAAATATGGACAATAAAGTCATGTTGCAGATGGAGATTGAAGAAAAGGGGGGGATGGTGAAACGGAGAAACCTTTGTAAGAGTGTAACAGTAAGAAAGGCGCAGAATAGCTAAAATCAATGTCAGTATCTACAAGTGCTCATCTCAGCCTTAAAGTTCAATGAAGGGCCATTGTGCAACGCTCATCCACGCTGTACGTATAGCCGTACAAACCACACAGCATTCACGCATACAACAACAACAACTGTTGCAACACATTGTGTTTGAACTCAGAAGGCGGCAGCCGCCTTGTTTGGGTGCCTGAGTGGGTTTCAGGCCTGCAGTGGGCCAGAGGTTGATCAGATGCACTCACTTAGGTGTCAGCATCAGCTCACAGCGGTAACAGGAGAGACACCGGCAGCGGAGGGCCGGAACGGGCAGAGAAGGGGCAACAGGAAGAAAGAAGTAAGCGTGCATCTCTCGCCGAAAGGTCAGACTCAGCCAAGCCTGAGTCGGGAAGCTGCCGAGATGGCCAGAGCGGTGTTTGTGCTCAAATGCAAGAAGAAAACACTCTCCATCAACAGACCACAAAGACGGGAGGGGGGGCTGGGTGGTTGTGAGGGTGAGAAGGTGAGAAAAATAACAAGGGAGGACACACTCATATCGAATAACATATAAAGTCTCTAAAAGAAAAGGTGATACTCTTACATTTTACAGAGGTAGTTCATATGTTGCTGATTTAAAAACACTATATCTGCTTCGTCTATTTAACAGTTTGACTCACAGCGGAGAAGTCAAAACACTTTCGTATGTTCGATTCCTGCAAGTGAGGACCAGAGTTGACAAAGCTCTATATCCTGTGAGGCTGTACTTGTGGTTGCACAGTGGTGCTTTGACATACAGTACATGTTAATGTTTAACATGCTCACAGTGACATACCAATGTTCATCAGGTATAATGTTTCACAAAACACTAGTAGGCCTGCAGTTGAGGCTGATGGGAGGGAAGGCCTAATTATAGTTTTGCAACTATTGAGTCATAAACTAAGAATTAAGCTTATGATTCTGATGACATAACGGCAAATAATGTAGAATTATCCCATTATCATTATGTAAGAGTGAGAAGGGCTTTGTCTCCTAATATTAAACAGGGATGAATGTAATACAGTGTAGAAACACACCGTAACAGGCAAATTGAGAATATGCATATATATGCTTTTCTCCCCCAATACCTCTGAAAAGAGCATCTGAACTGATGTGTGAACTGCTTTCCACTGATTCAGCCATGACAGTAGCTTCATGTGAGTAACAGATGAGTTTAATCTCTCCACGTAGATCAGTGCTGACCTAAATTATCACTTTACGTTGTGTTGTTGAGTCACCGCGTCGACGTCAACCGTTCCTCTCAACCTGCTTGTCTCTGTGTAGTGAAGAAGCGATCAGACTCCTGCTACAGATACTCATCTTCTGGGTCTGTCTTGGTAGGAGAGGCAGCAGCTTGTGACAAAAGGCAAGTTTCAGTGGTTTTTGTTGAAACCACCTCCATCCTGCTGCCTTTACACATCACACAGAGAGACAAGTAACCCCTTCAGCTGCTGCTAGCACGCAGCGGTTTAGCTACTTTAGTTTTAGTCCGAGGTAGGGACTTTGTGTTTTATGTTCCCTAAATGTTAAACAACACTTGTCAATATCTCATCTTGAGGTCAAAAACAATGAAAGTTTGATTTTCCTTAACACTTTTTACATTATATCTGAATGAATGCACACACACAATATAACCGATTACAGTTTAGCTAAGCCTAAATCAAAGGTTTATCACGGATATCTTTTGTCAAACCAATAATCTTTCTAGTGGTGTTTCACCTCGAACATAACCCTCCTCTTGTTTGTTTATTGTTAAGCAACCAACATGTACGTATGTTACTATAGTTTTACTTTATTATATGTAACCCAAAGTGTGAATCACAAGGGACCAGTGTGTGATGTGGTCTCCACGACCTCACTTTGCGTTGCTCCTTTTCTTCATTTCCGTCAGCGTCTTGTCGAGCTTCTGGTTCATGATGTTCCTCTCCGTCCACTGGACTGCAGGACGAGCCACAGAAACGAATGTTAGGAACAGTGAAAGATGAAATGCAGATGCAATGTACCAGAGGTGGGGGTCGGCACGCCAGGCGGATGGAGGGTGGCTGACGTAGGAGTCCCTGGAGAGGGACTTCCATGTCAAAGAAGCACCTAGAGACAGAGGGTTCAGTGGGTGAATTAAACAGGAAAGTGAAGAAAACAAGTGTGAAAAGGGAAATAAATTGTACAACCATACAGGTGAATCTATGAGTCTGTCTGATAGCCTACTTTGATCTAAATGCTAACGTCAGCATGCTAACATGCTCAATATGTCAAAGTTAGCATGCTGATGTTTAAGCAGGTTTCACTTTTGACCATTTTTACTGTAGTTTGACATGTTGGCATTTGCAAGTCAGATCTAAGCCCAAAGTCAGCTGAGGCTGATGGGAGGGTCAATGTTTTGCACGTGAAATAGTATTGGACAAAATTCATATTTTGAGATGATAGTGCTAAAAACATGGTTTAAAAACCCCAAACATCAGTGTTTGTAACAGTTAATTAAGGTCACAAATTTAAGATATAGTACGAGACGTCGGTTCAGCCACTTAAAGTACACGTGTGGGAAATCTGAACTATGTTGCAACGTTAGGATGTCTTGTTTTATTAGCGAACACAGTTTTTAATGTGAGACTAGTTTAACGTTTGCTGAACAGTTATGAGATAGCATTCAATGCCTACTTGTAGAGTAACAACTACTCAGTAGTATCAGTTATATAGCAGGACCTATCTAAAGCTTGCTAACATTAGCCACCATAAGCTAGTGGGCATACCAGACCAAGTGATCTATAGCAACAAAACCTCTGTGTATTTAATTGAGAATTTAATTGAGAATGTTTTTGGGGGGATTTTTGGATAATTCAACTGTTAATTTAAGAGGAATGTGTTATTGCTACTTTTAGAAGTCAACCTTTTCTTGATTTAGCCAAACTACACCGTGCCACACCTGGCGTACAGTAAGTCAGCTGGTCACATGGTGCACATGGCAACATTCACAGCTGGATAATTCAGCAGGATGATGCAGATCATGTTTCAAACTTCTCAGGATTCCCTTGATTTAATATCAATGTTGCCCATGTGGCCACTGCCTGTAAAGTAATGTTTATGCGTTAGTGTAACACAACATATGGGCAGCAGAGTATTGAACAATATCTGGTTAATGTCACAGAAGCTGTCCTTCCTATTGAAGACATGTTGTTAAACCCAATAACACGCATGGTTATCTGCATATTAAAGGAGACCTTTGACATAATTAAAACATACAAATAATGTACAGACCTGGAAATATGTTGATGCGAAGACAGTGGCCCAAGCTGTGATACGAACAGGCTGATCCAGGATCAGCATAGTGAGGCAGCGACAGGGACGGCACCCGAGGGCTTTCTACTGCCCTCACCTACGAGACAGCATGTTCAGAGGAAATCATAACTAGAACAAGAACACATTAACACGCCCGCAGCCAGAAAAAAAGAGAAAAACAATTTCCTCACCTGTGTCTTTGCTGATTTTTGGCCAACTGAGCTCATACTGAGACAATAAACCGCAGGAGCGGTGAGTCAAAACAAAAGGTGTTAAATTTCTTAAGAATGGCACGCAAGACACCCGAGAACATTACATCAGGTTACACCTCTGGACAAGAAAAACAAAACTGACATTTTAAGAGAAATGATCAGCTAAAACCTTGTGTGCAAAAAAACCTCTTTAAACCTCTTTAACCGACTTTCAAGTCCCCAAGTCTTCTTTTGATACCAGTGAAAACAGAGAAGCCAAGGGTTTGAAAATACGCACTCTCCATCATAAGACAGATATGTGAGGTGGACTGCACGCTAATGCATTTATTATTGCATTTATTATATCATTCGTTTAATTCATTCATTATATGTTATTTATCCGTTTTCGAGACCACCCCAAACTCAAAAAACAAAACCATTTTTCGTTTCTTTTATTTAACTTTATTTCACAATTTTATGCCATTTATCGTGTTCTTTGTTATAATACCACACACAAATGTCAACTGGCTAAAACAATATAAAACATAACTTCCACAATTTGTCATTATTTATATTATGTACATGCACTCATACATTTAGAGGCAAAAAAAACTCTCAGGCCTTCGCTTTCTCTCAAGTGCACTTCCACCCGTCTGCTGGTTGAGAGGCCATTCCAATGAGGATCCTTCAGCTTTTGTTTACCAGATGGACTTCAAGATGTAATAGCGCTTTGGTTCATACAGGTTTGTGTTCCTTGTTGTGAGCATTGTGGGAGAAACTAACCGAAGCGATGGTATGCTATTTATAACCAATCAAGAGGCGAAACGAACACATACAGCAACAAGTTGTTGGTACTTTTACAAGGCCACGTCTCATCTCATCCTGCAGCTGTTTGGGAAGCAGAAGACAAACTAGAGTTCAGTGTGTGTGAAGTTCGACACCGTGTCTGACAAATAAGTTTCAGTCCCAGGTGGATTCACCAAAAAAGAGAATCTGAAAACTAATGTCCTCTTAAGCTCCGCTGCAATAAAAGATCGTTTTAACTCCTCGGTGGAAGAAATGCCCGGACACACTTTCCTCCGGTCACTCGTCCCATTCTGCGAGGTGGACAGAGCATCACTTCCTGCCAACATAATAACTGCCAGAGTTTAGCTTACAACCAATATACAAGTGCCGGGATCGTCTTCGACCTAAATTTAATGGATTCTTCTGATGCTTTTCTGGGAAATCCGAGATGTGAGGGATGTGTGGCAGCAATGAAACAAGAGGATCAGCAGCACAACGGGAGGAGTGACCTCCGCTGTGCATCCGACTGCTTAATCTCACTTCATGCCGCTAATCATGAACTATCTACAATACTTCTGGGTTTGATAAAGAAAAACAAAAAAAAATGGAAGTTTAAAGAATAAAGAAAATCCTCTGCCACAGGCTGAACTACACACAGAGTGGTTTGGACATGGTATTTCTACAGCTCTGTTGAGAAGACCACTATGACTTACGGTATTAATGGAGGCGTGAATGAGCATCAGCTACGCATTCAAAAATGCAGAAATATTTCTTGAAGAAGATCTAATTGGGATCTTACTGAACTTCTGTCGTTTTAGAAAAAGAAAGGAAGAAAAGAGAAACAGGCTCTCTTGCCACCTGCGTAATAGTTTGACAATAAATGTGGATTCTTATTGGAGTGGTCCGTCAGGTGCTGTTTGTAACCTCCATCGGCCGAGGCTCCTCCGGCGGGATCGGGCCCGGCGCGCCGCTCTATGTGGGGGCAAACTTCTTGGCCTGTGCTCTTACCCGCTTCTCATAATCCATCCTGTTCTGACTGAAACACAAAGACGGAGACATTTAGAGCCACGCTGATGCTACTCACACGCTCATCTAGATGCAGTATTTCATAACGGGTAACATATCAGCGCGCAAAGTACTGAAGGAACAGGAAACATGAGTTTCTCCTTTGCTTAAAGGAAAAATTAACACAATTTGTGATTATGCAGCAAAGGCTCACTGAAATATTCACATTACAAATGTCAAAAACAACTTTCATTGAGGCTTGAGTTGTAGGCTATTGGGTGAGTTAGGTCATCACAGCGGTTACCAGTAAATTGTGTAAGCTTCTGCTTGTGCGGGGTCTTGAATGTTGGGCTCGTTCAGCAGCTCCTGGATTCCCAACAGGATCTGAAAACAGGCAACAACCTTGAGGTCAGACGGTTTCTTCACAGCAGCTGCTGCTCCTGGTTCTACGGCCACACGGCTATGTTCATGTTACAGAGTCCGTTACAGTCACAGTGTCATGACCGTAGAGAATAAGATCATCTGTGCAGATGTATATTAAGTTTGTAGCTGGATTATATCTGCAACATCTATCTGTAGGTAGGCGACTGTACAGTGTGCGGCCTCATTAGGCGTTAAAATGTGTGAGAATCAGAGGTTTTGTATTTATCTGTGGACACAGCTGTTGCTGAACGCATTTTTAACATTTAATTTCTGTTTCTCAGATTATATTTAAGCAATGGTAATTTAAAAAAATGACTGAAACGTTGTCTTAACATTTCTTTACAGGTTTCTATGTATTTCAACTGATCTATGAAGGATTCTATTGTATTTAATCTAAATTAGATCACAGAAATCAAAGTCTTGGCTAATTTCCTGTATGAATATAAATGTTAAATATGAAGTTTTACTGGTGTTATCAGGTTTAAATAATATGAAGCAGACATTTTCGTTTATGTATTTATGCTACGATTCATTGTATTTTAAACCATCTTTCTAAAGTCCCAGTTATTTACTGAAGACTGAACACATATTTAACTCTGTGTGTATACGCCTATTCATTTCCCTTCTATTTCTAAATGAATACTGAAATTTGAGCACGGAGGAAGCCAGAGAAGAGGAAGATAGTGATCATCAACCACACACAACCCGAGGTCTGACGAGAGCAGTTCAGTGTACTGTGCAATATATTGTGTAATAATACATAGTGAAATAGATGCTGTAATTGCCCACGCAATAGACTCCGTTCAATCACTGCAGAGTACAATGAATCAATAATCTGAAGGTAAACGGCCACAAATTGCATACGGCCTGACCGACCAACTCCACCGCTGACACGAGCACACGGGAGACTGTTGAGCGTTCAGACCTGTTTGATGGTGATGGCGGGCCTCCAGTCCTTGTCCTCCTCCAGGATGGACAGACAAACGGTGCCAGATGGGTAAACATTTGGGTGGAATATCGGTGGCTCAAACTTGCCTGAGCGGAAGTCACGAGAAGAGAGAGAGAGAACTTTAAACAAAGACTTGATCAACATCTGATCTGCATATCTTACACCGTAGTAACAGGGATATTACAATGAATAAAGCTTTCATTAAAGGTTCTCTGTATGATATTCAGAGCATTAGTATATCAGCAAACGACTTGCTTTCTAAAGATATAGTGGAGTAATGTCTACCTGAGCAGAGAATGAAGTCGCTCTCTATTTGTAAAAATAGATTTCCTCATTCACAAAAATAGAGACTGTATATTTAAACACTGTCATCTTTTGCTCATTGCTTACACAAGGCGGTGTGCCAACTAAACCGGGTGATGAAGACTGTTTTTTGAGCCTCTCCTCTGTTGTGTTGAATAGGCAGCTGGATGTAAATGTCTGCTCTTTATTAACCGTGAATGAAACGATGAACCAGGTGTGCAGTGACACTCACATTTTGGTGGTGAGGAGGGGTAGTCATCTTTGAACAGCATTCTGAGTTTATAGAGTCCTCCCTCCCACAAGGTCTAATGAAAGAAGAAGGAAAGAATTGATCTGTAGATACGAAAGCATATGAAACAACTGCATAGCACTAAGCAAAAGTAAAGATACCATGTGTGTTATTTGAGTGGTATATTTTTATGTTGATATGGGGTAGATCTAAACAGGATTTAGGCAGTAAGCCGACCTGATCTGGTGATAAATGCACCACAGATATTAAAGAACTGGTTGTAGTGCGTGTTGTTTAACATGAAGTATTACATCCTAACTCCTAACGTAAAGAAAGAGTTTACTGCTGGTCCACTTCCACGTGTAGCTAACTTACTCCTTTCTTCCCTGGAATCGCACACTCCCAGTTCATCAGATTCATGGTTCCATCGGGATTCTTAGTGGGCACAGCAACAAAACCCTGTGTGGTGTGCAAGACACACAACATCAGTTACACGTTGTGTAGGTTGCACTCGTGAACGTCAGGAGATAAACGTTGCTATTGAATGAGGGATCAACGTGTTGCTGCTTACAAACGGGTGGTCTTTCCTCCAGGCTTTGCGCTCCTGAGACAGTCTGCTAAGAGCGATGCCAGACATTGCTGCTCATCAACGCCTCCCTGTGGAAAAACAACCCCCCCCCCAAAAACAGATAAATTATTCAATTAAAATGTGCCCACGTACTAGTATTGTAGCCCTAAATTGCTTCTTCCGAGAATAGCAGGTACACGTTAGCAATTTACGATATCGTCGAAATGTATTTACGTAGTTTATGGGACTCCTAGATATTACGAGGTAATTAAATCTGGAGATTGTACGTTAATTCCATATAAGGGCAAAGATCTACAACAGTAAAAAACGACGAACGGCTTAATTTCAACGGAACTTACCTCTTGTTTTATTTAACGTTAAACACTAAAATGACGTGGGTTTGAGAACGTTAGCGTAACTAGCTAACGTTACTGCTGCGTTAACGGCGGCCGAAAAAAAAAAAAAAAACACACCCTTCGACGTTCAAAAACAAACCTAGTGGGCCAGTTAGGACGTAAAGGACCAAACCGAAAGAAACTTAGATGTTACCAACATTCCCCCAAACAACCTCATCGACATATATTGGTGTTATTTTTGACAATTTACCACAGATGTGTAAAACAATGTGACTCGCGACACCGTTTCGACAGCTAGCCTATCGCAAGAAAGGACCCCAATTTGTTTATTTCGTCAGGACCTTCAGGCAGTTTTCGGGATAGCCGAGTGACACACGTCAGAGACGAGCGGCCATCTTTGTTGTGGCATTCGATGCATGCTGGGAAGTTCACTCCTTTGAACGATTCGATCATTTTGAGTCATGCCGCCCGCTCCTAAACGAATCACCTTTCACTCCCCATTTTTTATTTGTGTATCATTTGTTTCACGTCAACCTGTCTTGTATTCATAATAGTTGGGTCGTATGCATTATGGTTGTGCACTATTAAATGTTATTTAAAAGAGCAATATACAACATTTAGGGCATTAATATGTCAGCAAACAACTATTTATAATATACTAGTGGAATAATGTTCACCTGAGCAGAAACTGAAGTCACTCTCATTTGATCGTGCACCTGGTTTCTACGTTTTAATAGAGGATGAAGCCCAGAATTGTCCTAAACACAGCAATATAAGAAAATACAGGCAGAGGTTGACAGGGTGATGATAGAGAGGGATTATTTTTGCATTTTTTCTATACATTGTTCTGTTTTGGGAAAATCCAACTCATTCTACCTCTGAGCTGACTATAGTATGTCTGTGGGTGAGGGGGAAAAGCCAAATATACACTGATGAGCTTCTGTCAGTCACAGAAAGGGAGGTTTGATTCATTGAAGCAGTCATAGACCGTAAATAACAAGAGGACGTAGTCATTGCGGTGTCACCCATTGGTTTGTGGACTGCCGTTTTGAAGCCTGGAGTTCGGTGTTTTGGCCGCCGCCATCTTGGCTTTTTGCAACCAGTGAAAGGGAAGTGACTATATTTGGACGGTAGAGGAGCGACGTAGAGACGCTGTGTATGGATCTGGTAGCGGTAGCGACCTGTCAATCACTTTTCAGAAGCAGAGGTTGCCACTTGGAAGCAATACATACCTCTGCAGACACAGTAAGCAAAGTCCACAACTCAAGAAGAATTGTTCAAAAAATGTTGATTGTTCTCTTTTGCCCAGTGGTAATGCTCTTTTGTTCTTCTCTTTTTACCTCAATGGCACATAGCAACAGCTGACATCATACACAAATAAAGTAACTCATTACATGCTATCCTTAACAGTTCAAAGGTGCCAATGGCATATTGCCTGTAACAAAAGACAATGATGCAGGTTAGAACAAGTGCACATCTTTCACTGCAATCTTCTAAGCAACTCTCAAAATACAACTCTTACTCAGCCATTTTTTCACATTAGAAGGTCCCATATGAGTTAAATACTGTACATTGTACAGTTGCACATATTATCTTACTACCATGGTGTAAAAAAAAGCTAAAATACATAAACTTTGTTGTTAAGATCGGGCATATTGCCAGACACCTCAAATGAAGCACAGGAACCGGTCTGAACTGGTTTTGATTTCCTCTGCGTCAGCGTCCCAATATTTTTTTTTTTTTTTGTTACGTGTTGTATCATGCAGCCTTTTCATGGGCCTTATCATCTGCTTCATTTATTTTTTTCATTTGCTGGGTTCACAACAAGTTATATTTGAGTAACATTGTAATGATTTAAAATGTTGTGAAGTGAAAACAATATAAATAAAATATTTTGACGTACAATAAAATTAGCATTAGACTGAAAATTTCCTGTAATCCCATGAATTGCGAGGAAGACTTGGTCAATGTCTATTTCCTCCAGCTACATTATTTTGCCCTTTGGTCTTCCATGGCCTTCTAAAGCTAATATTTATTTTTGTGGTTACTGAATAATCAGGTTTTTCCTCCATGTCCTAAACTGGACATGTTTAAAAGGGGGAAAAAAAGATATGACACTGTACCCATGTATAGTATAACACAACGGCCTCGCCATTTATTTAATTTACATTTGTAAAATAATTCATCAATACATCAAGAAATTGCACTTCTTCCAAGGACCCAACATCCCTTATCTTGGTACCTCTCTACATTCGTTAACATGACGAGATGTATTAATGACAACCAAAACCATCATGTTATTTTAAAGTATTGTAAACCATTCTGCAATATGCAACTATTGTGCTATTGAGGAAAGTCAGTTTACATAAGTAGAGGAGATTTTTATTACAAGCTCACTGTGCGTGCAGCCTTATTCAGCATGAACAACCCTTCACTTGTAAACGTAACATCACACCCTTGTTTGTAGTAATCCACTGCCTTTCCTCTTTCCCTCTCCCTCTGACACGATATGCTCCGCCGATGCCCTTTTAAACCATTCGGACCAGGAGCCGTCATAAACACACGCCCCAGGGTGCCCGAGCAGGTGAGCTGCCAGAACAACATGGCACGCTGTGACACCGGACCCGCAGGTAGCCCAGAGTGGTTGCTCCAGGTCCACCCCCGCCTCCCGGAACAGTTTGGACAGGCCCTCAGCTCCCAGCTCCTTGCCAGAGGCATCCAGGAAAGAAGTGAAGGGCATGTTGATTGTACCAGGGAAATGTCCCGGCAGTGTGTCTGTGAGGGTGAGACAGAGGAGTGAGAAACAGGGTGAACATTTGGCCTTCATCTGCAGACAGAGTTTGCTTACAGATGGTTCAGTTGTCATCCATGACAGTTAGAGATGAAGACCAGGAGATGTGGCTGAAAGTCTGGAATAAATCGAATAAGTAACATTTTTGTTTGTCAAACTAACCTACTAGTACTATGAGCTTGACATTGTGTTTGATGTAACTGCACAAAAGCAAATAATGGATAAAATGTACTATAATGTATTGTTTTCATGCAACAAACACTTTCTAAGGAAAATGTTGAGCCTTTTTTCTCTAAACAGTGTCGACATCGCATGAAAGCCGAGACTTCTGTGGATCCAATGAGCCCAATTGTATTCCTGTGTGATGACGTTAGTCCGCTGAGTATTTCATATTTTTTAGAAACTTGATGTCACCGCATAAAATGACCTGTTGTGACCTCTAGGATAATCACAGCCTCATGAAACTTAACAACCACAAAGATAACGACAGCATTCACAAGATTATATGTATATTGACAATAAGATGGTTTCTGAGCACGAGAACAGAAGTGCCGAAAATGCAGTTTTTGCGGAAATCTCCAAACGTCAAACTTTTTTGATACCGAATCACAGCATGACTTTTTCCTCTCTGGTGTTCCTCAACGTCTTGGTGTCTTAATGTGGTATTTTGGAGGAGAGTTTGATTATTTTTAACAATTCTCGAGGTAAAATTTTGGCCAAAATCTGTGTAACAAATGGTATGAACCCCAAAAAACACCTTAAGAGACATGATAGAGCACATCAGTCCACCATTATGTCCTAAGCCCTTTTTAAATGTTCACAATTTGTTTTAATTTATTTTTTATATCTGATTCATGACTAGCACAACTTGACACACTCTGCTGAGCTGCATCTCAAAACAATCATGTTCACAGCTTTTCAGAGGATGTACACCACTTCTATGGGTCATCTACTGCTGACCTGCTACCCCCCCCTCCCACAACAAAGGGGGTCTCTGTGGGTCTCTGATAGTTAAGAAGTCCAGCTCACCATCTCTGGGCTCCGGCTCGGTACCCCTGAACCTCCCTGCAGACCTGGCATCCACCACCTGGACCTTCTTGGTCCCGATGTTCTCCAACACGTCCTCGTAGCTCTTTACCCACGACGGGTTCACAGTCGCCCGGAACTCCCGACACTCCGGCTCGGAGCGGTCAGACGTGACCGGGTAGCCGTCAGCCAGCCAGTTCCTCATGCCCCCGTCCAGCACCGACACCGAGCTGTGTCCGAACAGCCGGAACATCCACCACACCCGGGGCGCGCAGAACGACCCGAAGTCGCTGGTGTCATACACAACTACGTGCGTGTCGTTGCCGATGCCCAGACCCCCCACGTACCGAGAGAAGTGGCTGGAAGTTGGCAGCATGTGGTCCAGCGCGGAGCTCTTGTCGCTGCAGTCGTCGATGTCAAAGAACGAGGAGCCCGGGATGTGCTTCTGCGCAAATTCCGCTCTCGGGTCCCGCTTCGTTTTCGGCAGGTACCACGAGGAGTCGAGAACGCGAAGTTTGGGGCCGACGAGGTTGTTTCTGACAGCATCTACCAGCCACTGAGCCGACACCAGAGCCCGGGTCTGCGCCGCCATGACGAGCCGCTTGGTTAATAATACAAGCTCCGTGCGCGAGAGGGAAAGGCTCGTGACTGTGCTCTTTATTAGGAGGCCAACACGGAAAAGAAACATGAGAAGTCACGGCTACGTGTTCAACTTTTCATATTCAACACCAACTATAGTTTGAACAACCAGACATGACATTTCCAAAAAAAAAAAAGAAGAAGAAAAGGCGAAAACATTCTTAAACATTTCTTCAATAAGAAGTCAGTGTGGATATTAAAATATAGCTTATATTTAAATCACATATTAAAAGGTCTTTGGAAGAAGTGCATCTACCTGGTAAAGTGGTCGTTTATAACTAAACATGCCCATCTTTTTAAAGTGCACTTCTTACCAAGCACCACCAGGATGTGCCATATGGATACACACGCCCACAGAGGGCAGAGAGCCTATCAGATAAAAGATTTAGTTGGAATTATGTCAAACAAGTTGAAAAACAAGTATTCCTTCACCCGTCAGTAACAGGTCTGTAACGGGAGTCTGACAGCAGCAACAGACATTTCTTTTCACATGTTGCAACAAAGTTGTGACAATCAATCCAACCAAAGTCAAACTGAGTTCAGACCTACTTCTAATCTGCCAACAGATCAAACTGCCTTGTTTCACAATCAAGTATAGAATGTGTGTTAAATCCACATCCAAATGCTCAAAAACAAACACAGCTTAGATTTAAGGTTTATATATCTGCTCATTCCTGGATATTAAAATATTTGTGATTGAGCTTAATGTGCGATAAATCAATCGGTAACATGAAGTGATATATATATATTTTTTAAATGCTGTAAGTGAGACTTTTGTGAGACTTGTCACTCCTTGGTGAGCTTGCGTTTGACCTCGGAGACCACGTGCTCTGGCGGAGCCTTGGTGAACCACTCGTACCAGGAGCCATCGTACACGGTCGCCCCGGGGGCGCCGCACAGATGGGCGGCCAGCACCATGTGACAGGCGGTCACACCGGAGCCACAGGATCCACAGATTGGCTTGTTCAGGTCCACATCGGACTCCTCGAAGAACTTCTTCAGCTTCTCCGTGGACAGCATCATGCCGTCATCCTCGAGAAACTCAAGGAAAGGCATGCATTTGGAGCCGGGGATGTGACCCGGGTCGACACCTGTGGGGCGATGACATATTAGTTACAACGGTTTTGGTTGTTTCATGAGAAATGTTGGCAGGACATTTGTGTTTTTTTGTACGCTCAGTAGCAAAAAAAAACAATGTCGTCACCTATTTCCGTGCACCAATCATGATTTAACAACATTTGGAAATGATGTAGGGCTGTTTGCGTCTGTTGCTAGACCACTGTCACACACACACACACACACAGACACACAGTAAGGACTTTTGATGCAGATACTACTTCTGCATTACTGCTACTGCTGGATATTATTAAAGTAACATCAGAACAGAGTTCCTCTTATCTTTATTGACTGTTCAATGAATCATGCAAGAATACCTTGATGAAATAGCCGGCAGCATATGTAAACTTCGAGATCACTTCTCTGCTTGTTGACATTTGCAGTATTGCGACATTCAGTTCAATGACTTTTCATCTTTGTTATTTTACAGGTTGTGAGCCCCGCTTCTATTTGCTGTGGTGCTCTTGGTGAATTTTGATGCTGTGCCAGGAGATATAGGCTAAAAATCTGACTAACACCTATCCTCCTTTCTTCCAGTTAATCCCATCCTTGTCGCCAAATTGTAATATTACGACGTGTGAATCAAACAACATGAGCATGGTTACTGCACACTCAGCAGTTACATGGATGACAAGACAGTAGTTCAGGGCTGTACGTGATAATTCAGTATGGTAATTAATTATCAAACTCAGTTAAATCAAACTATTTCCTTAATCTCATTACTCTGTATTTGTGCACATGCATGCAAGTTAGTGTTTAGCTGGGAATATTTATTTATTTTTTCACTATAATAAGTTATGTTCATGTTGCACTCAGTACTTTTGAGGTATGTGTTCACACAGGAGTATACAACACATGTGGTTATTTCATTTAGACTATATATTGAATCACCAGGAAACATGCTATACATCATATATGTCGTAAAAATATGGGATGGAAGATATGGGACATATTGCCCGCACGAGCTGCAAAAATCGAGAAGGTGGCAGTAAAGTAGTACAGTTTATTCCCATACAATCATATAATACATTACATACTTAAACATCTTATTTGAGTGTGCGACTGCCCTGGTATTTACCAAAAGCCTATTTAACTTTGAAATCACACAAGCAGCCTTGTTATCACCATAATAAGGCTTATTGACCTTTGTTTATGGCCAAAGGTCAATAAACAAATGCACTCCCATAAATTCACAAAAGGTCTTAAAAATAAGGAATACTTGGGTTCAAATATTAGGCTACACACACACACACAAACTAAACATACCCTCTCTTGGTTCTGGTTCTCTCCCACGGAACCGTTCACGGGGCCTCACATCCACCACCTGGAACCGCTGAGTCGCAATGTTCTCTGAAATGTCCTCAAACGACTTCACCCAGGAGCGGTTCATGGTGGCGGTGAAGCGGGCTGCTTCCGGCCGGGTGTAGGTGATCGAGACCGGATAGCCCTCCCTCACCCAGTCCCTGAAACCCCCGTCAAGCAGCGACACTTGAGGATGTCCATACAACCGGAACATCCACCAAACCCTGGTGCAAGAAAATGCCCCAAAGTCACTGGCGTCGTAAACAACCACATGACTGTCATCTCCGATGCCCAAGTTCCCCACGTAGTCTGCGAAAAACTGCTCGTTCGGGAGCGTGTGGTCGAACTTTGAGTTCCTGTCCGAGCAAGCGTCTATGTCGAAGAAAGACGCTCCCGGGATGTGAGATCGGGTAAACTCCTTCTTGCCGTCTCGATTCATCATCGGTAGGTACCAGGATGTGTCCAGGACCCGCAGACGCGGTCCGACAAGATTGCGGTTGACCATGTTTGCAAGCCATTTTGCAGAAACAAGGGCTTGACTTTGCAACCCCATGTTTGACGAGAGTCCTGGTTTTTTGTCGAAAAGTCCTTTTTGCTTAGGGAGGTTCCTAAGTGAGTGAAATGACTCCGAAGTATCTAATTGGCCGGCACGATAAGAGCTGTTTAAATCCTCTAAATGCTAAGAAAAGGTGTTTCAATGCTTCATTTCTTATAACCTTTAGCATAGGAAACACCGGACCGTTCTTTACCAAAGGAATAAGATAATACCGCCCCACAATACCTTGCGGGGGCAACAGTTAAAGTGACGCACAATTCGGCCGTCCATGAAAACAAACTATATACAGGTGCTGGTCATATAACTAGAATATCATCAAAAAGTTGATTTATTTCACTAATTCCATTCAAAAAGTGAAACTTGTCTATTATATTCATTCATTACACACAGACTGATATATTTCAAATGTTTATTTCTTTTAATTTTGATGATTATAACTGACAACTAAGGAAAATCCCAAATTCAGTATCTCAGAAAATTAGAATATTACTTAAGACCAATACAAAGAAAGGATTTTTAGAAATCTTGGCCAACTGAAAAGTATGAACATGAAAAGTATGAGCATGTACAGCACTCAATACTTAGTTGGGGCTCCTTTTGCCTGAATTACTGCAGCAATGCGGCGTGGCATGGAGTCGATCAGTCTGTGGCACTGCTCAGGTGTTATGAGAGCCCAGGTTGCTCTGATAGTGGCCTTCAGCTCTTCTGCATTGTTAGGTCTGGCATTTCACATCATCCTCTTCACAATACCCCATAGATTTTCTATGGGGTTAAGGTCAGGCGAGTTTGCTGGCCAATTAAGAACAGGTATACCATGGTCCTTAAACCAGGTACTGGTTGCTTTGGCACTGTGTGCAGGTGCCAAGTCCTGTTGGAAAATGAAATCTGCATCTCCATAAAGTTGGTCAGCAGCAGGAAGCATGAAGTGCTCTAAAACTTCCTGGTATACGGCTGCATTGACCTTGGACCTCAGAAAACACAGTGGACCAACACCAGCAGATGTCATGGCACCCCAAACCATCACTGACTGTGGAAACTTTACACTGGACCTCAAGCAACGTGGATTGTGTGTCTCTCCTCTCTTCCTCCAGACTCTGGGACCCTGATTTCCAAAGGAAATGCAAAATTTACTTTCATCAGAGAACATAACTTTGGACCACTCGGCAGCAGTCCAGTCCTTTTTGTCTTTAGCCCAGGCGAGACGCTTCTGATGCTGTCTGTTGTTCAAGAGTGGCTTGACACAAGGAATGCGACAGCTGAAACCCATGTCTTGCATACGTCTGTGTGTAGTGGTTCTTGAAGCACTGACTCCAGCTGCAGTCCACTCTTTCTGAAGCTCCCCCACATTTTTGAATCGGTTTTGTTTCACAATCCTCTCCAGGGTGCGGTTATCCCTATTGCTTGTACACTTTTTTCTACCACATCTTTTCCTTCCCTTCGCCTCTCTATTAATGTGCTTGGACACAGAGCTCTGTGAACAGCCAGCCTCTTTTGCAATGACCTTTTGTGTCTTGCCCTCCTTGTGCAAGGTGTCAATGGTCATCTTTTGGACAACTGTCAAGTCAGCAGTCTTCCCCATGATTGTGTAGCCTACAGAACTAGACTGAGAGACCATTTAAAGGCCTTTGCAGGTGTTTTGAGTTAATTAGCTGATTAGAGTTTGGCACCAGGTCTCTTCAATATTGAACCTTTTCACAATATTCTAATTTTCTGAGATACCGAATTTGGGATTTTCCTTAGTCAGTTATAATCAAAATTAAAAGAAATAAACATTTGAAATATATCAGTCTGTGTGTAATGAATGCATATAATAGACAAGTTTCACTTTTTGAATGGAATTAGTGAAATAAATCAACTTTTTGATGATATTCTAATTATATGACCAGCACCTGTATTTATCTTGCACAGGTTTAACAATTGTTTTCATACAGTCATAAACTAATGGCATTCACGTTGATGAATATGAATAGACAATGACAATCCTTTAGTTTCTTTTTATATGTATTTATTTACTTCGAACACATAAGTAAAAGAAAAAACGAAATAAAATGAACAAGAAGCATCAGTAAAAACAAAACGAGCTAGGCCTATGATAGATTATTAAACTGTTAAAAAGCTAAATATAACCGAACTGTTGAATCTACATTATTGCACAAAGGAAACATTGATATTGAACAGTTTCATTGATATTGCACGAGTGAATTGTCAGTTTCTAATGAAGCAGCTGTTGATTGTTAAGTGTGAAAGCCCGAAAGGAGCTCTAATTTCTCTCCTTCACTCACAAGTGAAGCAGCCACTCACAAAAGAAGCTCTTTATAAAGCCTGCATGCACGAGTAGAACAGATTTAAGTTTGTCATGTTTTAGTTGCGTGTTTTGTAGTCCTCCTGCATTGTAGTTTGCCATGGCAGACAGTGACATTCCCCGTCGCATCATAATTGCGTAGCTTGGTGAAAGTGTTGGATACTCTATGGCCCAATCCCAATGTCACCTCTAAGGCCCTGAACCCTCAAGGACTTGGACGTCGCCTGGTAAATGGTTTAGTGTGAGAGACTATAAGAACTAACCTATCACATTTACGTCAAATTATGATGTACAATTGTGGGTATTTATTTTATACATTTTACTCCCCGATTTGAAAGTCATTCAGGCTCTTCCCTCACAAGAGGAGGTAATTTAAAACAATACATTTACTATTTTTTGTCAAAACGGCTTCAATGACAAAATTAAATATGCGATGAATACATATTCTCTAATTTCATATAAATTACATTAACTACATTTCTGACTTTTATAATTATGCTATGGGTATTTCCTTTGTGTTTGCTCTCTTTAGTGTCAAAGGGGGCAAAACAAAAATACTACAGGAGATGGAGCCAACTGATGGACACGGGGGAACAGAGGGATGATTCACGGTGATTTTAATGAATAAAAAAGTGTCCAAAACAAACTTGCAGCGCAGGGGAGTTCAAAAATGTCAACAAAAAAACCCAAGGCAAACTGAACACAAAACAAGATCAGGTAACTCAGAAAAAAGCACGAGGGATACATACAGGACACAGGATAGCAGGAAACAAAGAAGTAAACATACCAGGGAGCATAAGAGAGCAGACGAACCAGAGACAAGGAAACACAGGGTTTAAATACACTGAGGAGGTGCAGATTAGACACAGGAGGATTCAATCAGACAATCACACAGGCGGGAAAACATACAAACACAGGAAGTGAAGTGAACACTGGACACAAGCGTCAGGGAAAATTAGGGTAACAGGTAACAAACTTAACCAACCAACAAACTTAACCAAAACCAAGACTGTGACAAGTAGAGATATTTCCAAATTACTCATTTATTTTTATTGTCCACTGAATTGAAAATCTTCTTTAACAAATCCGAAATGATAATGTTTCCAATACTTTCAAACATACTGTCCATTGCATGAATTCTTGTACATGAATGTTATTTAACATTTATGACATTATCTGCAGTTTGTATAGACATCAGGTCATCCGTAATTTGGATACTTCTCCAAGATCTGTCCAGTGAGAAGGAGGGAGGAAAAGTCATCAGAGAGGACTTTTTTTTATTTTTTATCACAAAACTGTTTTAACAGTAAGAGTTTGAAATGTAGAAGTCCCCCCAGAAACAGCATCAAAAGCTCAGGCTTAATATGAATATGGACGGCAGGAGATTTTGGTCAAGTTGATGAGGAAGAAGTCTCAGGCCTCATTGCTCCAGAGTCTGAGGTAATCCTTCTCCATGAGATCACGAGGTTGTGGGGAGTTGTCACGTCTTCAGGAATGAAGAAGAATAACCTCTCCGCCACTCAACTTTGTGTAATTCATGCCCTATCTGACGCGTAACCTGAGATTTAAACAACCTCGTGTTGTGACAGAGCTGAGGGTAATTCCTACCAGTGACGTCTGTGTCCCTCCTTGGTGGTGTGGTGGTATTGCACTTTGTACTCCACTACATTTACAGTTTTAGTTCATTTGCATATTAACAAATATATTACGATACATTATTATAGATTTATCAACCATCTGACACTGAATGTGTGATGTGCACACTGATGCATCAGTAGCCTGATTATAATCCAAAATAATAATATTATATAATATAATCCTAAATTATTCTTAAACGGGCCATTCTTTTACTTTGGTACTTTTTTAAATTAAGTTTAATTTGATGATAATACTACTGTGTTTTTACTTCAGTCAATTTTGCATGAAGGGCATATACTTGAGTGTCAACTGTAAGTACCAGTGTATAGCAGACAGACAGTATATACAGTACATATGTAATGTTTAATACTTGACACCTTTCTCTGTTGTGGTTCTTAGCTCCATGTTCAGTTGTGGTGGTTCACCGAGGGGCCACACACATAAAGACCACAACATAAAATAGAGGATAAAAAGAGATAGTGTTTTGAAAGTGGGTATCTCAAAGATATAAAATGAATTTGCCTGAACACAAGACAGCACATTCAATTTGTTTGAGCTTTGTGGGAGCTGGCTTTTGGTAGATAAAATTGGGAGCACACTGCCTGCAGATTGAAGCACTGATGTCAGACAAACCTCAACAATATAGCAGACCATGTGCCGAAACTTTTTGGTTTTAAACGAGGATTGGTGCTTTTGACAGCACTCCATGTTTCATATGTCTACATTGTTCCATAAATATGTGGTATAGATAGATTGGGTAACAGACATGGTACGATTTATGAAACACACAAACAAACAGGTAAGACAGAGAGAGAGAGAGAGAGAGAGAGAGAGAGAGAGAGAGAGAGAGGAGACAATAAACTGATTTGCTTAATTGGAGTCACTGCTTCTATATTATAGGCAAACCCTTGTTTTTGTGGTCCAACCAAGTTTTCCCACTGACTGTTCCTCCACTCTACCGACTGGCCAGATCTTAGATAAATTTCCATATTGAGGTAAGCTGATTTTCACTCTTAAATAATAAAAAAAAACACATGAATAATGTAGAAAACAGATTTATAATGACATACTCACATGTGAAGTGTATCAGTATACGTCTGAAAAGTCTTGTTTTTACACAGAAGGTGTAAAAAGTAAAAGTAAAAATCTTAAGAAATACCCTCTTGGGACATATTACTAAATTAAAGGTCAAAAACACTTTTTCTGTCACTTTGATATCTTTTTGGCGGTTTTGGTGAGATTTATTGTCTTGAGAGTAGTTTTAAA